ATCCAGTGAAAGGACCTTTTCAATGATGAAAAAGGTCCTTTCTCTGGATGTGAAATAGTCATGGTCTAATGAAGTTCACATCCAGTGAAAGGACCATTATGGTTCTGAGGTTTCCTCTTCGCTGGTTCATAGTGTTCGTTGTAGTTTCTAATGGATGCTACAGCGAAATTTTCATATTAAGTTCTCCAACGTTTCGAGGGTCCTTATGCCGTTTTCTTCAGGCTGGTTTTCTCGTTAGTAGTCCTTTCCACGGAGGGTTAGAAAAACATTAACAGAGCCCATTTTATAGCCTCCTCGCCACCTACCCCCTCCCCCAAAGCGCCGCTGCACAGGCTACCCATTTTGTTGGTCGGGTTCTTCCACGAGAAGCCCAAGCAAACATATACACACGCACACTAGTAACTTTGCTCTCCTGTGCCGTAACTGTATAACTACGCGTTGGATAACTGGAAGACAATAGAAGAATTGCCACATTTCAATGTTACGGTATGGCGTGACCGTATACGTGCTATAAGTCCGAGTATACTGATTGTTTTCTGCTCTATAAGAACAATTCGTGGTAATGCTATTMGTGTCTAGCTTTACAGAACGATGTGCCAGACCTAATAGGTTCTTATTATACATGTACAGCGAGTTAAGTGTATTACTGATCTCATCTTGCTTCTTGTTCGCCGACTTCGATAGTAACACACTGAGAAATTGAAGCCATTTTGGAACAAGAATCGAATTMGAATCTCAATCGTTCAATACTATGGCGATTATAACCTTTGAATCATTCAGCAGATTGGCATGCGGCTTTTTAACCGAGAAAAAAAAGAAAAGTAAAGAAGCTCACCTTTTGACGAAAGTGCGTGATTGAAAAGTAATTTAGTAGCACGTACATAGATTTTTGATTCACATTTTTATACAATACTGATCATGATAAGTAAAAGCTTTCGTGGCCATGGAGAACAAAGATGGAGAAGCGAAACCCAATCTATGGCGCGCGGAATGGTTCATAATTGTCATTTCGATGTAATTGAATATTTGTTTGTCAATTGCGTTACTTCGCTTGAATGTGTACACTTATCAGTGCATTGTATTACACAAGCACGTTGCATATGTTTTTTTGGGTCAATCAATTCTTATAAAAATAGTCAATTGCGAAATTTCGGTCGATGTACAATATCTCTGTCAATCACCAAAACTCTGTCAATCACCAAAACTCGGTCAATTCAGCAAAAAACTCGGTCAATTCAGCAAAAAACTCGGTCAATTACAAAAACTCGGTCAATTCAGCAAAAAACTCGGTCAATTACAAAAACTCGGTCAATTTAACGTAACAATAAGCACGTGTCATATGTCTTTTGTCAATCATCACGCGTAAAACTCTGTCGATTCAGCAAAAAAACTCTGTCGATTCAGCAAAAAATTTTCGATTACGTAACACTTTTTTTGTCAATCATCACGCGTAACATCAATAGTAGCCATATTCCATTGTTTTTTTGGTCTTAGTTTGACTGTTAGTCACTAAATACAAGTCCGGCCAAGTAAAAGTAAGAGTAAGTTAGCGAGAACGGAGGCATTTAGCTTTATACAGACCGGGGATATATGTATCAAGCATGAATAATACATTCTAAGATCCCGCTTCTGCCTACTACMCAAGATTTTGCAACTTAACCATAGTTTATGACTCAACTATTAATTATCTTCGCAAGTTTTACGAGAAGGTAGACTGAGCTGAACTGCTCATAATCGCATGGGGAGCTTTCAACGATGCTGGCATTTCAGGCTTTAACTTAGAAAATGATATATATACTTTCAATGAAACAACGTTCTTGAATCAACCTCAATCAATTTGTGCAACATATATTCTCTACGTTTTTTCTTAAATTTATTCTCTTTTAAGCTTAATGCAAAATGATTACATAGTACTATAAATTATACACTTTTGATGGCTTTTTGATCGGAGCTAATAAGTGRTTACTAAATTTTTTTGCAAGTCATAATCATGACGATTCTAGGTTTAAATTATATCTTTAAATATAAAAACTTTTGACATAACTGAAACCTTCCATATATCTTACTTAATAAGATATTTGTAATTGACCGAGTTTTGGTGATTGACCGAGTTTTTGTAATTGACCGAGTTTTTTTGTGATTGACCGAGTTTTGGTGATTGACCGAGTTTTTGTAATTNTTGGTGATTGACCGAGTTTTTGTAATTGACCGAGTTTTTTTGTGATTGACCGAGTTTTGGTGATTGACCGAGTTTTTGTAATTGACCGAGTTTTTGTAATTGACCGAGTTTTGGTGATTGACAGAGCTATTGTAAATCGACTGAATTTACGCAATTGACTATTTTTATAAGCATTATTTGATTGACCAAAAAAAACATATGGAACGTGCTTGTGTAATGTAATGCACTGATAAGTGTACACATTCCAGCGAAGTAACGCAATTGACAAACAAATATTCAATTACATCGAAATGACAATTTTGAACCATTCCGCGCGCCATACCAATCCGTCAAAAAAGAGTCAATGAGCCAAGGTTCGGTAATCAAATATTTACTTTTTCCTCGCTCAAAACCACAGGAAGCCCAAGCAATGTACTTGCACCTAAAGCAATATTGCTTTAATTTAGACGGCAAGTGCAACCACGTGGTTTTTGCTGTCAACCACGGATATTTAACTGGTGCCAGAAAATTTTTACTTGGTTTTCGGTTCCCATCAAAAAACCATCCCTATGACCATATAGAGCCACCAATAATACAACTCTGAGCAAAGAAYCGAAGTATTTTAGAACATTCCTGAAACGAGCTATGTCGAGTGAAGTTTTCGTGTTTTTAGTGTAAATGTATGGCGAAAACTCGCTCTGGTGGACTAGTTTGGTCCACCAGGATGGCAGCCGAAATAAAAAAAGTATTTCATGCAGGCAACAATTTATCAAACTCACATACATAAATCGAATTTTAAAACATTTAGACTCTGAAAATGTTTGATTTGGTAAAAAGATTTTTATTTCTATAAATTTTCAGACCCGTAAGCAGTGTATTAAGATCAGAATCATGCGAAGAAAATCAAATTTGCACAACTCGGAAACAAAACGGTGAAACGATCTGAACTTTTCTAAACTTAGTCACATCATAGCGCTCTAAAACATATCAAAGAATGGAGTCTATAGCATTCATCATAAATTTTAAGTTGTTATTTTCTTTCGTTGCTCAATTTTTGACTTTTAGAAACAACTGAACAAAATTCAAATAAAAGCTATAATTTATCAAAACTTTGGAGAATTTTATGTAGAGCAAAAGATTATCAAACGAAATCCAAATTTAACTTAAAAATTTCAATTAAATATTATGCATGATAAGTTCATTCTTATTTTATTCATAACTAGTCTTACCTTGAAGGCAAATCAGTCAAAAGAAGAAGAAAAGCTGCAAACACCCTTGTTTTGCGTCTGGTTGTCGTTGTTTCTTCTTCGAGTTTCTTCTTTCAAAACGAGGAAGGAGTCCGTGTGACGTCAAAGAAATACCGGCTCGCGATTGGCTGAACTACTTCAATTTTGAAATAGAGCGGGAAAATCGAGGAAATGAAGAAAGGTTGTCAAAAAATTAAGTCGGGAATAAGATAATCCGGATAATGTTATGCCGGGAAAAATGAAGAATATAAAAGTTTGAAGCTTAAAAAAATCTAGTCAGTTAGACTTTAGGGAGTTGGTTAAGCACCAAGAAGTTAATAAAAAAGATTGTCCTAAAACTTTTGTACATCGTATTAAARGTTACTGGTGACCTTCAGGGGTGTGTTTCTCTTAAACTCTCTCTACGCAACAATAATAAATATTTGAATTACAATCCTAGAAATCTTTTTTTACTGCTCAATTATATTACTTCTAAACAAAAGCCCGGAATTACATCATCAGCTGCTAAGCCAATCTATAAGCCATTAATCTATGAACACGTCATTCAAATCAATATATGGGTACTCTTGCGTAAGAATGCACTTTCCGCGAGGAGAAGACAAAAAAATCCCAAAGGCATTTTACGACTTGGCTGCCAGTCTACCCAAAGACCAGCACTTTTCAGTCCCCACTCACAAATAAATAAGCAGTCCCATTAATGCGGCGGCAACTACTCGAGCAGTGCTTGTCGTCGAACATGCATGCATGCAGCAAGTAAGTCGTTTTTTATTTGCAGTAACTCGTCTAATATGCAGCAACTCGTTCTTACTTGCACTGAGTAACTCGTCTAACATGCAGCCATAGGAGCGAACTCATTTTATTTGCAGCAATGCCCCCTATGGGCCGTTGAGAGCAAATATACTAAGCTTATCGTCCTGTAGGAAGTTCGGTACTGCAATAGATCCTACGAGGGAGATATTTGTAATGCGTCCATCAAAGGAAAGCCAAACTCGTCAGTCGGGATAACTGGTTCGGGTGGTTCTGGTTCAGGAGGGGGAGGTTCGTACCCAAGCTTATCGTATTGAGTAAAATTAATAAGTTTTAATTCCATGAGTATAGGTTCAACAGGAGTCTTCTGCCAAGATACTTTAGGACTATTTACTCTCTCTCGGGGCCACTTGTTATCCAAGCCTAAAACCTCTTTGCGCTTCTGAAGTTTTTCGAGTGTCTTCGTGAATCCATATACATCTAATGATTCCTCGCGAGTTGGACTTAGCGGAACCAGACTATCTTGAGTTCTAGTTTCTCGTACTCTTGTCTTTTCCCTTCTTATTGGAGTCGAAGGTGTCGTCGGAAAGCTTCTTAGGAGGCTTGCACATGATTGAGGTCGCGTAAGATCTTTTATGTAGCTCACCCGACTCGAGTAGCCACTGTCTTCTCTCCCGGGAGGGGACGCGCTAAAATAGACCTTGGATACCGGGGATTGTTTTCTTAGGATTTCCGCATCAAGGTCTAAATCTTCGTGATCTGATAAATCACTAACAATTACCTCTTCGTCTGACTCGTCATTCTCACATTCCTTATCATAGTAATGACTACAGACTAGAGCTGTAAATGGGTCTCTCTCCAAATGTAATGATGCAAGAGGCTTTTCATTCTCCCTCAAGGCGTCTAGTCGCTCTTTAAGTCTTGTACAATCAATACAAAGATTAGGTCCAAGTAATTCGCAAAAATGTCGACATAAGCGAGAGTCGTCTAGAATATAACGCCGATCACAGATGACTTTAGGACCAACCTCTGTTGCACTGGAAACTCGTTTTTTGATGGGTTTAAAATGCGTTATGTTTGTACGAAGAGTACTTAACTTTTGAGGGGGGTTTTGTTCGTCTGTTTGCTTGGACAGTAGGGGAAACCAAGCGGTGTAGCACTCTTTCTTATCAAGTTCTTGTAGCTTTGACTGACGATGGAATTCTCCCACAAGACGAGAATGTAGTTCTAGTGCATTATTGCGTTGCTTTGTAAGAAGACAGTTTGCTCTCGTTGTTGATCGCTGGTGGAGAGAACGCCTCTTGCTTAATAATCGGGTGCCATTTGTTGACGCGTACACTGGCATTTTACAAACATAGATGCTAAATGACTTAATAAAGTTCAATGGTTTGATGTTAACAAGAGTTATCCATGTAAAAACCGCAGATCAAGCGAGTTTTGTAGGGATCGTTATTCGAGGTTCCATAGTTCCCTGACTATCAAGCCCATGTGTAATACGATCAAGTTCGATCAATTACAACATTCACATTCTCTTGTGCTTGTTGACTAAAGTTAATTCGTTACTAATGAAAGGTCACGCTTTTTAAAGAACTCACGCTCGCGAATAGCATATATTAGAGTTACAGTCTGTTGCCTTCAAATCATGCAAAATGAAATGYATAGAAAACTGAACCAAATGCAAAAATTATTTGAAGACAATAGGGTTTACATGTAACTCTAGTATTTGCTACAAATTGCGTTACCCACGTTATTCATGGATACAGGGCTGTAGCCACAAATTTCTGATTGGTCCGGTTTTCGAGGGTTTTCAGTTTTTCTCATATTTTTAAAATTATTTTTCTTGTATTTTTTCCCCGAAAGTACCGTACCGGTGGCTACGGCCCTGCTGGAATGCCTACATGTAAATGGCCTTCTTCTCCGCGAGCAGAGTCTCTCTTTCTCAAACTCCCTTCTTTTTACAGAAAAATTATACCAAAGGAAAAGAGGCAAGCTATCGTTCTAGTATGTAATCCTGTTTTCATGCAATCTTCACAAAATGTGTTGATARAAGTGAGTCCGCTCAGGACTATTCGTGGTTTTCAACCATTCCCAAGAGGGTCAAAAGACAAAAACATGGCAGCCATGCTAGTGGATAGGTACAAAAGACCTAATGAGACCAGATGACGTACTGTAACATGAAAATGAAGAATTCTAGTACCACGGCTCAACTTATGACAAATGAGATGACAGTTTTTAAGTGATTTCACAGGCAAAATAAAATCACTTTATCCACATGGTTTTGCAAACATGAAGTTATTACCCAAACATTTTAGAAGTCAGTAGGTCTATTTGTATAGGAAATCACACAATCTTGAGTACAATTCAGAATTTATAGGTACAAGTGATGTTCTGAATGTTTTCAAATTTGGATGAGCCGAATTGTATGAGAAGATTGTGCGATTTTTTGTTTATAATACACTCAACAAAATTGAGCAACTTAATTGGGACTCTACAGAGTRCAATTTGGGATTTAATTGTACTCTTTTTGTCCAATCAGAATTGAGTAGTTTTGTTGAGTGTATGATAATGGAAAATAACAAATAGACCCTTCCCTGAATTTGCTTGATCAGTCATCACAATGGCTGCAATTGGAGGTTGGACTTCTTTTCATTGTTATGTAAATGTATGAACACATCAAGTTCAACCTTTCTTTATCACTCAAATGAAATCAGGAAAGTGTATTTCACTAGCCTCAAAAAAGATTGACCTGCAACTAATGCCAAGATTGAGCCCTGTACTCAGAGCTTTCAGTAATATTTGTAGTAGGGGGTTAGTCCTAAAAAGTAGGGGGATGAAGCCACTGGTGTTTGTATATAACTTTATGTGACAATGAATTATTTTTTTGTCAAAATAGCCTGCAGTTGAAGGTGAAGTATCCAGCGATGAACTGCCGGTAGCCGCCTTTTAATGAAAGCTCCCTGTACTACAACAACAACATTTAAGAGAGATCCTTTTTTCTCTTTGTATATTTATTAGATCATTGATAGCACAGGAGAGTAGTGGACATTCTACTTATTGGCTGGTCGAAATGTCTGGGCAGCTGTGATTGGCTGAGTAACCTGTAGGTTTGGGATGCTTCCAAATTCCTATAAAACAAACAACAAAAAGATCAACATGGTATTTCTTGATTATATTCATCAACTTTTTACAAAATGAAATCTTAGTTGAAATTTTGCATGTGAAAACTAGTTGCACAGACCCCAACAACATGAGTCTAGATATTTCTAAAAACRAACATTTTTCTTTGTATCCAGTGAATACGCCTTATTGAAAAAACGTTGTTGGGTTCAAAAAAGGATATATCATCAAAGCTAAGACCAAAGGGGAGCATGGGAAGACAAAATACCGCAGCCAAACAGCTCTCCAGCGTAAATCTTCGGAGAATGGCTTTGGCATGTTAGCTTTGATGATATGACCTTCTCGAACCCAACAATGTTTTTTCAATTAGGTGTATACTGCTTGAAAACACAACTTTTCAAAAACAGATATGTTTGAACTGGCAAAAATGATTCAAAAACTACACATGTGGACAAGAATTGTTTTCAAAATGGAATTAAAAAATCAGTTTCAAAACTATCGGGATATATATGGATGGGGCCTAAATGTAGAAGCAAATATAGAGCTGGAGTTTTGTCCTTTGGCTCAATAGGAAAATGTCATATTTGGCACTCAAAGAAATAAGGTTTCCTGCATTTAAAATGCATTAAAATGTGGAAGAGCCCCTTTGGGAGCTATAATGATAAAGCATGTAATTATGTATGTATGTATGTAAACCTGGGCAAGAATGGGGTGCTGGGGTACCAAGTGAATCTACCCTAGATTCACCCAAGAAATTTAAGCCTAATTTATCATTTAAAATAAAATAAATCCGTTCAAATGTTTTGGCAAGTTGGCTTTTCCCCCTAATGAATTCAATGCTACAACCCACTTTCAAAAGACAAATAACTGTAACTAGACCTTAATCTAGCCTTACTTACCAAGATTTTCAACATCTCTTTGGTGTCAGGATCAACCTCAATGAGTTCTGTATCCAGGGCAGAAACCTGTACAAACGAAACAAAATGTCAGTAGACCATTTACATGACGGTATTTGCTACCATTACAAAAAAAGCCTTCCAAATGATCTTTTTTATTWAAAAAATATTCTCTTATGAGAATGGCAAGACAGTTGGTGGCAATGAAGTGGTCAGTTTACCTCTGGTACATAGTTGTCTCTTCGTTCACGTTCTTCCTCTTGAAGCTTGATAGAAATACCACGTACAGCTCCCTTCTGGATACGCTTCATTAAATGGGTGACAAAGCTATCCAAATAAATTATAAAAACTAGTTAGCTAACGTAACCCACATTATTTGAATTACTAGCACTAATCTTTAAGTCAAGAAACATGAGTGGAAGCATGCAACACTTCCTGGAAATGCTTTGGTAGTGGTATTGGTAGTGAGTTTAATACCAAGAACTGCCATCACATGCATCTGTTGTAAAACATTTTCTTTGGGATCTCAAATTTTCCCTCCAAAAAAAAAGCAACTTTCAACACGGAGGTAAGGGTGGTGTTCGCATCTCGCGAAAACCCTCTTACCACTGTGACCCTGGATTGATTCCTGGACTTGGTGTTATATGTGAGTCGAAAATTACCATTCCTAAATCCCAATTCTAATTTAGAGGATATTCTTGATAGGGTGAGCCCCTTAGATCTTTTTTCGCACTATAATGCAAATTTGGTTTTTTCCCCTAAGGTCCCCTGTAACTGCTCCATGCTGAAGCAGTGTTCTTTCCACAATAAATATCATGTCAAAAACTAAAAAAAAATCTTAAATGATGAGGGGCACRACTCGGCATTTTCAGAATCGTATATCTTTGAGAGTTTAATAGCTGGTGGCTAGCCTAGCCAAATCCCTAGCACCCCATATGTTCACCAACATTAGTAAGGTACTTACCCCGCAATCTGATTCCTCAGCTTCTTGCTGGGAATAATTGCAATTTCTTCACATACTCGCTTGTTGATATGGAAGTCAAGAGTAAGACGGGGGTAATATTTTTCAATAATAACGCGAGCTGCCTTCTTGACAGTCTTTGTCCTGACGCGACCCTGGAATTAAGAAAATAAAATGTCATTCACAGTAGTAAAACTAAATTAAATCTATAGAAACCTTTTAAAACATAAAATATAAAGACAGGTTTGGTTTCATTAAGGGTCAGGGATTGGAGAATGCTCCATTAAATGTGCAAAATATTCTGGCTTAAGCTACTATTTATAGATAAGTAATTTGTAAGCTGTTCACTTAGACTTTCTGGCAAGTTCATGACCTTCTCCTATCATTTGAAAGCTAGAAAGAACTTTAATCATTATTTGATCTTACAAGAAAATAAGATTTTGAACAGCTTGATAGCATACTAACATTCCTAAAAATGAATTATTTTCAAGCAAATGTTACAATACCTGCACCAAGCTTTATTGCAAAGACAGAATACAGCTATTTCAAATAAGGTTTGTGAAGGTAATGTTGCATACCAAGCCAGAAACTTAAACTAACAGCAATTCAATTCAATTAGCAAAAGGTTCATGTTTTTCCAGCATAATTTCATTTGTGTTGTCAGCATTTACAGATGAAAACATCTCAAGCTTAGTAAGCAGCATGGAGCAAACAACAAAACCTCTAACAACCTTTGAAATAGCTGATTTTATAAACACAACAACAGCATTCACAAGATTTACGAAGAAAACTTTAGCATTAGATGAACGATAGAAGAAAATGGTCTTCACTGCTCAAATATGTAGCAAAATAATCTACAATGTAATCATTTTTTAAGGCAATGATCGAAGACACTTTCCAAGACTTCCCACATCGAATTCATGGAAAAGGTCTTATTTCACTGTAATCAAAATTAGAGAATCAAAACAAAGAAGCATTGGAAGAATTGCTGCGGTTTTTAATCGTTAGAAATAGCTTACAGTCGAGACCATTTGGCAAATGATAAAGAAGAGAAAACTGACATAAAGCAGCATTCGGCGTCAGGATGAGAAGACATCAAAACAAAGCTCGTAAATCGAGCAAAATTCATTGGATTACACCAAAAAAAAGAAAATAACGTAGGAAAAGTATTCAAGAATCATATGGCGATCGGAAATGTAACAATATTTCGAATATAATACGAGATGGAAGTGGATYTTTCATCTACTATCTTTACGAGACCTACCATTTTGAATCCCGAAGAGTTGAGAGAACGAACCCATCAATCTTTGCGGCCTTCAGTGAAAAAGCCGCTGACCAGGACAAAATAAACTGCAGGCTCTTGCTTTTAAAATGCAACTTTCAGCTTATTTTTAACAAAATAGGTTTTAAAATAATTTTGCTTTTAAATTGCGATTTTCAACAAATGAAGCCATTTTCAAAGTTTTTTAAGCAATCAGAATAATATGACTCATTTGGGATTTTTACTTCCTTACAAGCCAAGCATTTTATTCAGTTCCTCTTATGAAGCACGTGGGTGATTTTTTGCAGAGATCATAGGAAACAACTCACCGGTCAACGTGTACCATTATGCGGACATATCACTTTGTACTAATGTGCGTGTGATTAGATTTCTGAGATTCGGTCTCTATATATCAGGAAGTAGAGTGCAAGAAAATTTAATACACGGACCAATTTATCATTTTAAATTATTATATTGATTAATATTGAATATTTTGTAAACGCAATGCAATCCACGATCGCGATACCCGAAATAGTGAGTCACTGCATATTACTTTGTGTAAGACGAAATCTGGTCAGCGCAGTTTCCGTTATAGAGACGTGAGGAATTTGGAACAATATAGATGAGGAATTAAAGCAGTGAACGTTAAG